GTAACATTGTTTTGGTAGTACGAGAGAGGAATCGCGACCGACTCACCGACAGCTTTGAGGGCAGCAAAGTGAATCACGTAGTCAAACTTGAACTATAAGGAAATAAGACGTACCATGAGACGCGATAGTTGTCAAGGCCGGTGTGCACACAATTGAGGTTTACACGGATATATCATAAGCGGCTAGGAATTTTCGAAAGACACAAGAATTACGTGGCAGAGCAAAATAAGTCGTTAAAACGCCTAGAATCTGCGTTAGGACATGTGTATGAATATCGTAGTGGACGTCGGCACAAACGATCATCCAGAAACCAACAAGTTATCAAGTTGGAAAAAAAATCTTAGTGAAAACGAGACACACCCAAGCCGGATGATAACGGTAGTTTACAGAATCGTGTAAATTTACTGGGCGTGACCCTTCTTGCTGTAATCAAGTCACATATCCCATCATTCGTTTTGGCGACCGGATTAATTGCGACTGTTCTCTAGGCGCTTTAAATGCTCACTCACTGCCACATTAGATCAGTAGTGGGCAACACTGTGAACCTCGCGGCCAAACGTACATTTTGAACAGATTAGCAAATGACCCATCAGTTTGCTGGAATATTAATTAACGACAGCCTGGCCTTACTGAGCGAACCAGGTCTCCTGATAATACCTTAACACTGGCAACAACTCTTCCGAAGTCAAAGTCTCAAAATAGGTGTGGCTGATAAGCGTTGTCAATTTTGCCCTTTTAGTTTATAATTTATTGATGTGCTGAGAGTATCAATGAAAAGCACAATGAATGCCCATGATCAGTGGATGGTTAATAATACTGGTAAATAATTTACTGAACTCAAAGGGTCAGTTACTCAGGAATATCGGGTGTTTTTTACCTGATGACCATTGAATCAAATGAAAAACGATAATGACTTTGAGTTAATAGCTACAGGGAGCATTTGTTTAATACACAGCGTTTGCATTTACATGCATCATCAAAATTACACATTTAAGTAGCATGGCTTGTTAATTATGAAGATAAAATCAAGGACCATTTAAATTTCTGTTATATCACCTGGGTGAAGTCTTACGACCTGTCATTTCTGCCGTAGGTAGGGCATATTGGTGTGAATTTGCTACTTGAAACATTCGCGAGCTGGTTTTACAGGTTTTTTTGAACATACCTCTTTGAAGAGAGCAGTAAGTGCATCCTTGTCAAGAAGGTTTATGTCACGAACCTTCAGTTTCTGGCCGCAAACCTTTTCAAGGTTAGGGATGCAGCCTGGAAAAAAAAACAACTTTAACGGGATGTTACACACAGCATCCTCTAGTGTTCCCAGACGGTCAAAGGTTCCGCATTTTTGAAGCCTCCTGTTAAATATCTCATAGGATGAGGGTCCCCCCCCCCACCGGTAAAACAAAGGGGCCGATTTGAGGTCATCAATTAACGTAACTTGAGCGACAACCATGAAGCTTCACATCCCCCCTTTCTTCCAGACAAACGAACTGTTCGTTAACAAACCACTATCTAGTTAGCAGGTTATAGTCGGCTTATAGCGATGTCCCCTTTCGATTAACGGTGCCGACTCTTCCCACTTCCATGAATGAAACATGAATCGATCGTGAGGTAAGGTAAGGATGACAAACGATACAGCTTACGGGAAGGATTCAATGACACAAAGAACGTTCCTACATATATCGAAAAGAAGTGGCAAGCCGTTGAGATCTCAGCAAAAAGAAAGGAGAAGCAGAGCAAGAAAGCAGTAACTTTCAGACTTGGACCCTAAAGCTTGTGAAATTCAATTGAATCAAGAAGAGTGATATGCATGTACGTGGAAAAAAATTGGCTCATGTGAAGTGCTAAAGATTCAAAGATCGTGCGAATCCACCTTAATGGGCCGTCAGTGACGTGGCCGAGCTTGGAATTCAATAGATCTGAAATGTGTGGGCGCGGGATTTGAAAAATTAACTTGTTTTAAGGTAGGTTATCTGAAGAGTTAAATAAATATAATACCCGTTGCACAGAAGTGTGTAACAGAGAGTTACGAGAGGAAAACGAGAAACCATAAACCAGACAATAGTGACATACCTCTACTGGCATTACAAAAATTGTCAAGAATTACAGTATCATAGCCAGCATTCAGCAGCTCGACAATTGTATGGCTCCCGACGAAACCAGCCCCCCCTGTGGTGAGAACAAGAGGCTTGCGGTCAGAGGGCATCGAAAACAGCGACTATCAGAGACAAATAAGTGAACTAAGAATCGCTGTGCGCACGGTTTCGCTGCCGTATGCGCGGCAAAAGTTGATTGGATGCTACGAAAGGGTACGCACGCACCACACGTCGTGGCACGCACACATCTCGCGCCGGCAAGACACGACGGCGACCATCGAGGCCAGGGTGTCACTGTTGTCCAGGTAATGTGGCAGGCGAATCAGTGAGTGCCTCACCCCGTGAATCAGAAGCGAACTCCAGGACGCCGATTTAAGGCTTACTGCACACGAAAAACATCTAATCAAGACCTGCCCTTTAGTTCACAAGTAAATAGACTAACGGGAAAGTGGTTTCTCCTAAATATGTTTGAGAACAAAGTTACGACCAGGAAAATACCATCACCGCTGACAGTGTTGTATTTTTCGTTTCGCATCAGCCCGACTATTTAGAGCATAAACCTCGAATAAGCAATGTCGTATGATAATTTTCAATGATTCCGTAGACCAGGTAAAATCACTTTCACATTGTCCACACGAAAAGCATCTATTTTATGAGTACCTTGAGTTGCTGCATCACGTTACGAGGCAGAGGTGTTCGCCGACAGGCCTGATTAATTGGGCTTAATTTAGATAATCCATGGTACAACAAAGCAGTACAACGTGACAGTCTCGATGACATCGAAGACCAGATTTGCCTCCTACTCGTGGTTTTTATAATTTATCAATTACGGTTAGTTCCGCTCAAATGTACGCGGATACACAAGAGCAGTGTGCAGTTTCACTATTCCAGTTATTTTGAGCCATCGATTTTTTAATGTTATTAAGCGTAGCAAAACAACAAACGAGTTGAGGTATGCCAATCACTCGTAACTGGTACAAGATTTATTTGTAACACGGCCTTCTAATCGCATTCCTAAAGCATGCTACGGCAGAATGGCTGAACATAGTGGGACATTGGACCTCACAGAAGGGTCTAACAAACGGATTTTGAACGGTGCCATCATCGCACGGCCATAATGAACGTTTTAATTCATAGCACACTCGATCGCTCACATTTAAACAGAATTTCAGATTGTTTGACTCGATTTTACGATTGGTCATCGGCAAGTGATGAGGAGGCCTCAGTGGCATTTATTTCACCATTGATATATGCAACAAGGTGGCACAAAGTGGCCTATCAGGAATAGCTAATATCTACACCACTTCTATAAACGGATACAAACCTGTTTGTGGGAGGTGATGCATTATTTTACAGTGGGCGGAATTAAGGGAATACGAGCAAATTAAAGATTGGAAGCACGTAGAAACAAACGAACGATTACGGGGACGTCATTAAGGCTTTTCATCCACAGATAAACATTACACCCAATATTCTAGTGACGTGTCCAGATAATAAGACACTATTGCGGTCTGGCTCAACGTAAGGGCCTTGCACACCATTACAGTCAAGCATAAAAAAACAATATTGAACAACTTTATCTCAATTACGCATTAAAAGTGGTACATAAAAAGGCAGACACTACATACTGTCGACTTATTCAAGTGTTACAATGCAAAATGACGAGTGGATGGGAGGAATGTTAATCCCGAGGCTCCTGCCTTATTCGACCGGATTGTGAAGTTGACGGGATTTTCTCTTCGGTCTGTGGGTCGTCAGGGTCACCACTCTCAAGGTCATCATCATCGTCAGCGGCTTCGCCATCTGTGTCTTCGATCTCATCTTCCTCTTCCTCACCATCGTCACCCGAAAGTAGCGAATTAGCCTTCTGTAACAAACCAAACCAAAAGACCACGGCTGTAACTAAATTGCCAGTAGGTTGCTGCAAAAACGGTTTACGGTGCTGAATTACATCACAGAGTTTGAAGAGATCGTAAAGCTTTCGAATAAGTTGAATTCCGAACTCGTATTGACGCTGAAGAAAGTCTTCAAAAAGACTTACATTAGTGGAGGTGTCAATAACGGGTGTGAGATTATCTGTTAAGGGCGAATGTCCCCTCGAAACCAGAGGGGATCTGGAACGCGTTCGAAGAGAAGGCGCTTCATCTTCATTCACCTTCTTTGAGACGGTAACTGGAGTCCTTTGACTGCCCCCGGCAACCTGAGAAGCAGGCTTGAGTTGAGGGTTAGTTGATTTAGAAGTTAGGCTTACGGCGTCGCCTCGACCACCACCAGGACCTCTGGCCAGTTGCTTTTGATTCACTTCGCCATTGGTACGATTTTCACTACCCTATATGGACGAAACGGCATGAGAAATTGTGATGATAAGTCTAAAAACACAATACCCAATCAGACATTTTCAACTAGGTCAAATTAAGTAAATAAACGGTAGTAGTGATTGACACCGGGCACACAAAAATTAACACCAAAGGTCGTTTTCATAATAACCCGAATTTCAACACTGCCAAAGGAAATCTATGAGTGTACTCGATGACGTGAAAGAACGAGGATAATTCTTTAGTTACTGGGTGGGTGCGACCAAAGCATAATTGAACAAAACACCTAGTGGGGCGTTGAAAATCACCTGAGGTACAAGACTAACATACAGATAGCGGCAGTTTTTGTGAGAAAACCTATCACCAAGTTTTGTACTACCGCCTATAGACATAGAAGTTAGAGAATTTAGTTTACAGGAAATGAATGAAATGTTAGTTTTTTCGTGAGAGGTAATAAAATCTGGAGAGTACTTTGGTAGGTACAAAAGTTGTGATATGTACAGCGAGCTTTAGCGTCGTTGCGTAAGCACACATCCCACAACATACAAACCCAAAAGCACAAAGAACAATGACCTCGAAGTGAAGCTTTTCTGTTAAGATGTTGGTTAGATAGTCTTTTATGGGGCGGCCTGGAGGATTCCAATTTGTGTAAAATTGAGAACATCGACGGGAAAGCAGACGCAGTGCTCGCCAGGTCCATTCCTCTCGATTGACGGATCTATTAAAAGCGGAACAAAACATAAATTTTTGGTCAGTTTCACAAAGCTTTTGTGTCAACAGTGAATTATAGTGATTACTTTGTTCATCGCCAAAATCCCACGCCAAGAGAAACAGTACGAAAAGCCCCAGTCTAACGAAAGCCTTACCTTCCCGCAGAGATCTTTTACAGCCTCAGCCAAAAACCGAGAAGCATATCAGGATGGTCATGTTGTGCAGGCCTCAGGTCACCTTGAACCAATGTATTCAGACGGATTAACACATCTAGTTTTCAGTACGGGATAGAAGTGGTATGACGGTGTAAATGGTGCGACCACTGGAATGCTAAAGCTAAGGCAATCGTGTGAGACGAGGAAGTGTGTGGCGAGAACAGTTGCGAATTCGGATTTCGCAAAGAAAAATCGTCAAAGGGAACCCTGACATCTCCAACGTGCACCAAAGCCAAAGGAGCACAAATGAAAAAAAAACGGTTCTGAGCTACACTAGGTAACACGGGAAACACATTAGCCGATGGCCATGTCAAGAGTACACGAAATTGCCGACAGAAAAACTGAATAGCTGCGACATGGTCAAAGTTCATTCATTAAAAAACGATTTCAGAAATTAGAAACAGGGGAATAGAAAGTTCGCAGCAGCCATTTAACTAAATGGAATCCAGTTTAAATTGAGTGAAAAAATTAGCAAGCACAACCTACATTGACTATGGAATTTATTAAAAATGACCACCAATATGTTAAGGACACGGCTGGCCCGGAGAATAAACTTAAATGACATTGCATTTGTGACACGAGCATTTAAAAGATCCATAACGTTGCAGTCATGTAATATTGAAGGATGGAGTCGAAAACAGAATAATGAAATACACAAGATCTAAAAAGCAAGTAAATTCGGATAATTACAGATAAAAAACTGAAGAAAAACGGTTGACTGACAGTGCGGAAATACAAAGACAATTTAAAAATAAACAGTAAAGACTTTCGACCAAACACACCGCAAAGAATAAAAACACAACAATAACAATGCCATCACAAGGAGACAAGGGTCAATTTGGGGACGTGGTCTAACATATTTATGACATTGAGAGAAGATCTGACACCAAAGAGACTTCAGACAAGAAAAACGTCTACACAAAAAACAGTCATTTGGCAGGGTAATTAGATTCAATTCCTCGAATGTGATTTAAAATTAAATTATGAGGAGCTTACGTAGTTGAGCAAAACTGTGCGAAAAATACGGGAATCCACGTTTTACGTAGGACGAATCGCATTAAAACGAACATAAAACTATTGAATACAGCATCCGAGGCAATCGAGAATGGCAAATAACCGGGTAGGCTACTTTTTCAATACATAACCAGTGGCTACACCACTTTGACACATACATAAATACCCCTCTGAACTACTCATTTGGTTTTACGAGACGCACTAATTTCATCGCCCCACGAATACACTTTCTCAAACATGAATAAAAATCAAAATCGAATGACAGGCCGAATATCTAGAATGGATTTTATGTAACCAGGAGGGGTTACCAATAATCAAAATCAAAGTATATGTTCGACGTAGGAAAACAGAATATATCCACTCTGATATTCTGAGCAAATCCGAAGCAAAATCCACGTGTTCCTTCCAGGCTTCAGAGGTTTCACCTTTCCAATCCTACAAAACGCGCCCTTTGCTAAAACACCGCACAAGTTAAACAAACGCGGAAAGCGCACTCAGGCATGCTATGAGACTACTGGCATGCAGTGGCATGGCGCGAGGTGGGATAAAATCAAGTTGATTCTCCGGGCCTGCAGTTAACCTATCTAGACGATATATGCAATCGGTACCCGTGTGAATGACGAACACGGCCATCCTAACAAAATGCAGAAGGAGACGTTCATGGAAACAGCGCACAAGACAACAACCAAGCACACTCAACAACAAAACATCTCGGAGACTGTCCCATTTCATTGTAATAGAGAAATTACCACATACAGGGAGCTTTAGTTTCGAAATTATCAACAAAACTTTGTCGAATAATTTATCCCGTCCAGAAATGCAAATTCACGTTTTGCAAGTGCTTTATGGGTTGGGGGCCACACTTTTGAGGTTGCGTAATGGCAGTCCCAGCAGTTCGGGTTACACAAATAACAAAAAATGGTTCCCGAATGGCTAGTGATGTACCACCTTGTCCAATCTGGTGACGCACATGTATACACAATTTGAAGCGCACACGTAGTAAATAACCATGCATCAAGTGCAGCCCATCTCGAACTTGCATGCATCAGGTACATCGCGTAATCAGATCACACTAAGCAGCCTCAATCTCAACGTGATTAGAGCTACCTTTCAGGGATTTGGAATTTCATGACACCAAGACCAACCATATTACATCTACCTAAAATACACATCTACATTACGAACTAGGTCATTGTAAGTCTACTATCAATACCACGAAAGATCGCAACAGGCTATTGAATGACCTGGAGACCCCACCGATTACTAGCACAAGCAGTAACACACACACACACACACAGAGGGAGTGAGAGAGAGAGAGAGACGGAATTGGAAGTCTGTTCTATTGGTTTGTTCCCGAGCGCCTCTTGCAGCAAACCTTTACTCGACACTTAAATCATGTTATATGCGTTTGGAGGTGAATTTCTGGGCACGCGCGTTAGTCCCCAAGCTCAGTGTTTAAAACTTTTCTTTCGGCATGAATTTGAACCTACACCGTAGATACTTGTCAACAGGGACGGACAATAAAGCGACAAGTTTGCCAAAATTCCACATCCGCTTATAAACCGAATTGATTTATTTCCAGGACTTGACTCAGCCAAGCTGATTCGCTTGTAAAAGCGACACCGCCCCTTTTGTCATCTCTGCGTGCAGAGCCAGGGGACGTCTCCTCGCATTCACGTCAAATCTGCGTCTTGCCTCAGACAGACTCGAACCAATTCCCTTGGGAGGGTTCTTCCTGTTTTTGTAGAGAATGTAACCGGAGGCAGCAATGTCAGGGGAACAAAGGGATGCCAAATACGTTGCCGATAAAAACTCGCGCACACAGACCTAACATCTGCTGAATGGGCGTTTCGTCGAAGCACTGGATAGGCTTGCCATGATGCCTTCTCACTAATTGTCGAGGCGATTTCTTCAGTGCTTAGGAAACCTATGGTCAGAGCTTCCTTTTAGTGTCCCCAAATTACTTTTTCCTTTCGACTACCATCCAATTGGACATTTGTCCCCAGGATCGTACCAATTAACCTAGATCTAACCCTCACCTACAGCCCAATCGAATTTCCAATCATGGACAAACTTGCTGGGCATGACAGTTTGCTGAGCCATCGATCTTCGTCTTTAACATTCGAGATCCACAGGGCTGTGAGGTCTCCCCGTTTCAGTCCACCGTTAGAGTGATTGCAATTCGACAGTCTCCCTTCACCTGAATCCGCGCACTCATTCATCCCTACTGCTGTCGTCCACTTTTTGGCCTAGAACTTCCGACTTCGTTGCTAGCCTCTGCGAAAAACCACCGGCAATGGAGAAAACGCGGAGCAGAGTAAGATAATCAAAGACCTCCTTCAATGCTTCGGTGATTCCATCTTCTCCTCCTCCCACCACCTTGGCCAGGATTTGACGTTGCTTTATTTTTGAGGACGCCACCCCCCGAGAAACCCAGTGGCTGCGATTCATCCAACCACCCTGCGACAGCCCTGGTAAGATACGCTTCAGGAAAGTACGCCCATCTCAGCCACCACATCCCACACATTGGACTGAAGATGTGCCATTTCACACAGCATCCTCCGCAAAGCTCACAGGGAATTCCTGACTTACCAACTTACCGCTTATCGCATGACTGTAAATGCAAGCAGGGAGTGGATGGATACATCCGCAAGCAAACCCAACGAAAGGACTAGGGTTAAGCAGTTTACGAGTCATACAATTAAAACAATTGGCAATCAATTGGGAAACATTTCTAGTCCCAACTTAGTGACTAACATGTTCTGACATCACTTAAAGTAGCACCTGAGGTGCCTTACAGGCTTTCTATCAGCCTACTTATCGACTGCAGCAGCGTACGTATTCCTCACCTGCAACAAATTGATGAAGCCAGTAACATTGTTTTGGTAGTACGAGAGAGGAATCGCGACCGACTCACCGACAGCTTTGAGGGCAGCAAAGTGAATCACGTATTGGCTGCAGCAGCGTACTTATTCCTCTCATAGAATGTTACCGCTTATGTGAAACACAGCATTCACATTTATAAACTTCAATGTTGCAAATAAAATTTCCTGTAACATGTACCTGTACTGTTCTTCAACTTTTTCCCTGGGGTCCAACTCAAGAATGGCATCTTGGAAGTAGGTTTGCAATTCGGGTGGTCGGAATAGACGTTGCTTGTCGCGGCACGACTCCAAATTGTCAGGACATGCTGACCACAGTTCATCCAAATCACTATTCCCAAATCTAAATAATTTTCTGCCAGACCGATCTTGTAGGGGATTTGTCCGTCGTTTTCTAAAAAAAGAGCACGATGATGACAATAATTGAACAATATATAAGACAGATTTCGGTAATTAGAATAGAAGTTGAACTTAGATAACGTAAATGGTTGTAAGCTTATACATGAAACAAAAATAGGTGGCACAGCGACTCTCACAGTTCCCAAACTCCAAGAACTAACCTAGGTGTCATGGCCGGTTTTTCAGGCTCTTTGATGAAAGAGGGGCAGCCTTGATTCTTCCACTGATTCCAATGTGTTTCGCGATTAAGAATGTGGTCGACAACGCCCTGAGTAACGTTGGGGGACGACAGTGAGGAAACGTCAGCGTCTCTACGAAGTAGTCCAGCAATTGCCTCCTGCTGTGTTTGTATCCAGCGCGTCTGGCTTTCGTCCAAACGCTGACTATCACTTAATAAAAATAGAAATAGAGTGATGAGGCAGGTTAAATTTAAAAATAAGTGATTTGGTCTTGGCTATTTTCCACACAAATGATTACTGGGTAGCCCCTTTAATGGTCAGATACCTTAAGTTCAACGATAATTTAGAGGGTTTCGAAATGTAGGCGTATAAGAACAGAAGAACAGAGCATTAAACCAACGAATAAAAGAGTGAGAACGATGACTTTGAGCGAGGTGACCACTTACTTTTTGAACTTCACCTGTGCAGTGAGATACTGAAATATTATCAGTAGTTGGGTCAGTATATAGCGACGAAAATTCGAGTCCATGAGCTGCAAGTCCAACAGCTAAAGCGAAAGAGGTTGGTTCAAGAGTAACCGTAATAACTAACTCGTCGGATCATAGACGACAGAACGAGATAAACACAGGTGGTTTTTGAGCAAAAAATATCAGTTACGCTAATGCACAACGAAGAGGTCAAGGTGATTAGGACCGACTGCTTCAGACACAAGTGAAACCCATATTAGCACACAAAGCGAGACGTGTCCGTTTCTGTCTAGAAATGTAACCAGTTTGAAACTATTTTAGGAGCTGGGCTACCGCATTATTCCAAAAGGGATGGTGACGACGACCACGTGTTTGTGTCGTTTAAAAGCTGTTGTTGACGTCTTTGTTGTTGTGTCGTTTAAAAGCTGTTGTTGACGTCTTTGATTATGAACTTTTGGTGTTAAAAAGTGAAACATTTATAAATAAAATTAAAAAAAACTGATTCTCAGACTATACAACAGAAGGACATTTATAATTACCAACAAATTCCTTACCTTTTCACTGGTTAAGTACATGGTGAACTGTTGCCAACGCGCCTCACAACCACAACCGTTAGTCATTCGGATACTCTGAAAAGTGCCTATGACGCACTCGGTACACTCCACAAAGGAGATCCACCCCTCACGCGTATAGCAATGGGTGGGCGCTTTTAGGAGCTCTTGTAAAGTCCAAAAACGCCGATAGAGGTCTGCGTTTACAGGAGTGGCCGAGTCCGCTTCCAGTAGAGCTTCATCGCTCATCGTGAGAGAATGGAAAAGACTCTCATCGGGCTTACGACTAAAGGCAACTTCCTTTTCGAGATTAAAGTTAGATGTGAAATTTAGGCCAGATTTTTCGTTTAAAGGGAAGAGACTAGTCAGGAAAAGTTGGATTCGGCCGCAAAACACAGTGTTCTGAGACTTGGATAATCGACGCAGAAGGTCGTTGCACATGCGCAAAAGAGTGTTTCGTCCAGAACCGAATAAAGATGCCTATGGGTGGAGGACAATGACATAATCTTAACAAAACAAAACATTTAAAACACAGTAGATTATTTTAGAATCTAGTTATTTTAAGGGGTCGGAGATTTGGGTCACAGTAATGGACGTGACAACTTTGAGCGCGGGTTTCCTCGAACTGACGTTTACGGCATCTGAGTGATTGAGTCCACTGGTCAGCAGATCCATTTAATGGTAATTAAACGCAATAAGAAATGGAAGTGAAAATTCGCCAAACAATATAGCATACCTTGCACGATCAATTGCCCTACAGAAAGTTCTCAGCTAACACAGAGAAATCAGTAGAAATTACAGATATGAAACGATTTAATAGCAATACAAATGGGTAAAGCCTATTGGGTAAATGTCCTTAGCCACGTTTAAATGTCTAATTAGCGTTTTGATTGCAAACCCAAGGATACTGATGAAAAAGGCCAACGGTTATGTACCAAAGGCAAAAGCAGAGTCAGATTGCAGAAAAAGGCAATTCAATAAACAGATACAAATATCTTTGTTCAAAAAAATCTAGGTAATGCGAATTTGTAAAAGTAATAATAACGCCAAAAAGTTGTTGGCGCAAAGGTATAAGGACTAATATGTAGTACAACGAATTAAGGTAGAGGAGCAAATTGGGTTACTACGTACATCTTTGAGGGCCTTGATCGTCTCTTCCAGAAAGTGAAAATTCTCTTCAGCTTCGACGATGGGTTTAGTGTTGACAAGATCCGCAAAAAGAAGAAAAGGTGTTGAAGCTGAACAGATGCCATCAACTGCAGCCGAAGCTGCAAGTTGGAGGAGAGCACGCACCTCTGACATTGAATTGTTTCCTAATAAACTCAGTGTCCGTTCGCGTAGAGCTAAATCAAGAACTGACTTAGTTTGTTCCTGAATGAGTTTCAGTGATTCACATTTTGATTTAAGAGTTAGGAGAGTAGCCTTGGAGGGGTGATCTCCCAAAAAATTCTAAACTTAACTGAGGCAGAAGGATAGAACGGCTTACTTTCATAACCTCTAAGGATGAGATAAATTCATTCCCCATCTCAAAACAGATATGAATGAACCGTCTAAAAAGGAATTATACATGGTAACAATGCAAGTCTTAACACGTGTGTAGTTGTTCAAAAAGCTTCTAAGGCCGTTTTTTTCAAGGTAATGCAATGTTTAAAGCTCTGATTGCAGTACAATTAAAAAAACTTTCCAAATGGAAATCCCACTAACAAAGATAAAGATATTTTGCAAATTTCCGGTGAATAAGAAGTATACAGGAATAAGATACCGCGTGCCAATGTTCAAAGTGATCCCATAACGATTTCAAGAAAAGACTAAATTAAGGAACAATTAACCTTCGAAATATGTAGCCATGCATGGGTTGCCAAGAGCACACCATAAACACAGGCAAGAAAGGTAGAGAATTGGTAGAAAGCACAGTGCAAACTTTTAAGCCCTAATAAAGGAATATAATAGGAAAGATTAAGAGGATTCAGCCAGAAAATAAATCGACGCGGGTGAAACAGAAAGTCACAAGGTTACAGATTCCGTCAAATTTATTGAGAGCATTAACTGAAATATGAGTTAATGGCAATGCTTTGGCTCATAACTAAATGAATTACGAAATAAATTGCGTTCATATTTAATTGTGGGTGTGGTGTGGTTTTGTGCGCTGTGGTGTAGTGCGGCGTCGGATCAGGGCGCAGACATGTTGGACCACCTGGACTCAGCCAATCCCGTGTCTCTCTGAGTTCCAAGGCATGCGAGGAAGGTAAGCAGACAACCAGAGAAGGACACGAAGGAGGTGCAGTATGCAATGAGCGGCGTGGCCAGCGTGGCGGACTCGGATGAAAGGCGCCTGACGCGTGGCTCTGGCTTCTGATTGGTCAATAAAGCCTGTTCTGTTGTACCGGTATTTTACCTATTAGGGCTCGGGTATTCTACACTGGTGGCAGCGGATGCGTTCGAATAACGCAAATCGAACCCAGCCCTATCTCTTCTATGGTCAACAGAGGCAAAGACCCTTGAATGCCAGCTGAAATTGTCATGGCTGTCATCGGACGTCCAATAAAGTGGATCCATAGACATTGCACGGGATTAGGACTACTGCATCTGAAGAGGCATTGGCAACTCAGCGACAACGACTTGGACAGTGAAAGCCAGCTGGACTGCATCTGCGAAGGACCTTCAATGGATGATGAGTCTTTCCTGCAAGTCTACCAAGAGCAAAGTCCCTCGTCAACTATTCGCATGGGCCACTATCCTGCAAGATGTGGGGTGCGGGAAGTGTCGAACTGGATGTTTTACCAACATTGGTTATCAAGAACAGTGCGGTGGACCAAGCCAGAAGCTGAGGACAGCCTCACTCCAAAGGGGAGGCAGTGTGGTGTGGCGTTGGATGAGGGCGCAGACATATTGGACCACCTGGCCTCAGCCAATCCCGTGTCTCTCTGCGATCCAATGGCATGCGGGAAAGGAAGG